TGAGGCAAAAAGAATTTCAGGGGGAAAAAAAATTGCTCACAATGATCACAAAGTACCTTTCTACTTCAAGAAAGCGGCAAAGGAGACCATCCTCTTCAAACACACTATTTGTGCCTACTAATTATTATCTTCAAGTACACTCCCCCTGGTGGGGATGAAAAGGTTATACTCTGAAAAGTGAGATTCAAAAATGGTATTCCGACTCTTGCCGTATTTCACTTTTCACCCTAATTGCAGACTAGCACCGGGCATGCTTTCAGCTCATTATTCTCCACAGAGGCCTGCTAATGGTATTTCTTCTACCGCCTAATTCTATAGCTTTAGCATGGAAAAATTCCTTTCAAATTCAATACTGATGGAGAGCAAACAGTAGGTCTGCCTCTCTGCTTTTTGTTTAGCTGTTCAGTAACTGGATAAACATTAACCAGCTGGATAGTGCAATTATAATTTTTTTTAAGGTACTGTAAATGCTTGCAACAGCATCGTGTCTGGCAGCCTCACAAATATTAATGAATGCATTCTTGTTCCACTCATGCTATTAAGAACGATTAAGTACTTTCACAGAGGTCATGCAGAAAATGAATGGCAGAACCAAGCACTGAAGAAAATCCAAAGCTTTTTTACTAAAAGGTACTTTTTAAGACATCCCACAGCACAAACAGAAATAAGCAGAAGAAATACAATTAGTGGAGGAATTGACATTAGCTACTAATTATTTACTACGTAAGACATTGTTTCCAATGAACTCAGCAAACAGCTTGTTCAACAAGATCAGGAGTAAGGGTTTAGGATTTGGATTAAAAACACTGAAAAAAAGTAAACGCTAATATTCCCCTCTAGGGAAATCATCTCTACTAATTATTTGTCTATGGCTTACCTCGGTATTGCAGTCTAAACTGCATTTGTAAACATCACTCCATTGTTCTGTAACAAGCAACGCAGTCACTTCTAGGAATTTCTTACTAAAATGTATTAGAACAGAATTAAAGTTTTCAGTTATATTTGTCTCTCTATGGAAAGGACAGAATTTGTACAGATAAAAAGATCAATATTTGGACACAAATATATGGTAATACCTATCGCTGTTCATACACAGGAATGTCTCTATTAATTGTGGAATTAGAGCTAACAAAGTCATCAAACACAATGGCTGAGACTATTACTGTAACAGAATTTTCAAGTGCTGAAAGCTATTCAGAAGTGTAATCAAACAGCATGCTAAAAGCAAGAAACTTTTTTTATTTCTGATCTTAAGCTTTTAAGTTTCATGCATTTTTACGCAAAGCCTGTTTTTTACATTATGCACAAATGCCTTGACCTATAGTTTTTTATATCTTAAAAATGCATGCATAAGTAATGACAAATACAAACCAATTAATATTTTCTGACAGATGTAATTTGGCCTTGATCAAAGCTTAATTTTTTTTTTTTTTACTTTAAAGGTAAGTACTTTTTGCTTGTGTTCAGTGTTTTACATGTCCTTCTTATTCAAAATACAAAGGTAAAAATGCTGTAAGGGACAGAAGATTTTCAGCTTTTTATTATATTGTCTGAGAGGAAAAAAGTATAAGTACTTTTAGTAAGTATAAGTAAGTGGCAATTATTTATCTCGACACAGGCCAGTGAAGCATCCCAGATTGTTTTATTCAAAATCAGTAATATTACGCCAAACAGGAGATCTGGTTCTGTTCCTCTGTTTGGGACACTCTTTATCTTCTCTTAAATTGTTTTATTTATTCCAGTTATTTTTCTTTTTGTTGTGTGGGATTTTGAGGATTCTTGAAGACAACAGTATCAAAAACACACTCTTAGTAGAAAGACATTTTGAAAGATGAAGTGGTCAGTGATATATTTGCTAAGAATAATTATCATCTGGTATTCAACATTATGAATGGGAGGAATCTTCAACTAAAAAATACGCATTTTTAAACCTGTTTTAATTTTCTTTTCACTTGTTTGTAGCAAAACCAGATGAATCAAAATGAAATGTCTCTCACTACAAAGCATCACCCACCCCCCACATACTATGGCAGGTCACCACAGGCCATTCACACGTCTCCTGTCTTTAATGGTCATGGCTTCGCTGCATGGAGGACAGAGATTTTGCTTCTTCCTGTTTTAGGTTAGCTTCATCCTGCCATTCATTTGTACTCCTGTTAAGACTACACCTTTGTGATCTCTCAGAAATTACAGGCTCATAACGGATTTGGCTTCCCGCAGAAGGGCTAGGACCAGAAATGGAAGGGTGTGAAATTTCTCACTGAGCCCGTCAAGGCTGAAGGTATGAGCTAGGGTTCAGCTGTGAGAGATACAGCAAGGGAAGGAAATGTAGGAAAAAAATACGGGGTAAAGCTGCTGGACTGTTATGTTGCTCAGCACAGCCACTCAGAAAGTACTCACCAGACCAAGATGAGAGACACGTTCCCAACCCACGGTGAAACCCAAAGTAAGCCTTGCAGTTGCTTGCAGCGTGGTACCAAGGGACCACAGAGAACGCCGCACCAGTGGCCTGAGTGTAGGACAGATACAGAGGTTCTCCTTTTTGTGAAGAAATGGATATGTTGTTGGATCCATGTTAAAATGTATTTGTCAAGAGTGGAAATATAACTTCAGTAGACAACACAAATTTTTAATAGTTATGCAGATGCAACGTATGGAAAATAAACTTGTATTTATGACTGTTTTTTGTAAAGCATATCAGTGTTAGCTACAAATATGTTTGAGGCAAGTTTTCTGTATTTGAAACACTTCAAATAATCTTTAATTGGTTGATAATAAAACCCAGGAAAGGCACATCCGATATAATAATTTGGGGTCAGTTTTCTCCCCGCTGCATTGCTCTTTCTGTGATCTTGGATGCAGCTGTGAGGAGGAGGACTTCACATGGGGATACGGAAAAAAAAATGGGTGTTTCAGTGCACTGGCCTTCACAAAGCTCCTCGCAGTTTGTACAGAAGTCTTTGGCCTCTTCCACTACCGCAGTGCGCCTCAGATGTGCCTTCACTCCGACTCAGCATTGGAAAGGGAGCATTTCTTTCCTTTTCACCTATGCCTCTCACACACAAAACAGAGACTTTTGAAATCCCTGGGTGTGCAGCCCCATAGGACTCTTTTAACAAAATCTAATATGCAACAGGTTTCCGTAACCAGCTACCACTAGCCAAGAGGCCAGTATTACGTACTTCAGTGTATTAAATGTATGCAAACTGTGTACCGCTGGTAAACTTTACTGTTTCAGACTAGACCAGTGCATAAGCTTCGTAACAGGTCAGTCCAGCTTCGCAGGTGGAAATGGTCACTGTTGCACTCTACAAATTCTGCTGTCATTATGCGGACCTCGTCGGGACGTGAAGGAAAGTAAGGGAAAGAAAAGTCATACGAACAGGACAAAACCTTTTTTTGCAGCATTCTTGCAGCTTGTTCCTCTGAAGTTCCTTTTTGATCTAAGCCAAAAGGTGGACAGAGTCCATTTCAACACTAACAATCTAAAATCAAATCTCAGCTGAGATTAATTTGCATGAATAATGAAAGCTATTTTCAAGTGTGGCATTACATATATTTTTTAAAGTCAATGCTTATATTTTTATTTTTCCGGGGCACTACCTACGGCGCTCTTGGCTTTGTTTTGTGCTTTGAAGTTCAAACTGGTAACCCACTGGAAATGGGTTTAGAGCTCCCTGACCGCTGTGGAAGCAACTGGGGCAGATACTTAGGACTGAGAATCATTTAGTCTGACATGCAATCAGGAGGATATTTGCAGAATAATAAATCAAACTCACACCTCTGGACAGACAGGACAGAGAGACACAGAGCGCGGATGTTTGTGCCCCTGCCCTGATGAGCAGAGGTGCCACAGCCCACTGGTGACTTTCCACCAGTTCGAGAGGCTGCTATTGCCGTCATCCGGATCCATGCAACACTGCTTTCTCCAGACTGCTTTATAATCAAGCAGGTCAATGAAAAAAACACGATTTTACATTTCTGCAATGAAACGTGTTTCCCAGAGAAGTCCAGAGAAGACGGGTCTGCCTCTCGGCCGCCTGAAAGCGCCGTCTCTAGGCCGCCGGGCAGACGAGAACCCACACTGTGATTTTTAATATTTTCTGTGGCATCCTTATTCCCGAGGCATTTGCTGCAGGACAAAAGGGGGGGTGCGTTGTTCCTCCAAGCTGGCTGGGAGGCTGCTCGGCAGCAACTCCCTCGCCCTGGCAGAAACACGGAAGGCTCGGTGGGGCAAGGCCGTAATGTTTCTGGATGCAAACCGCCTTGAAAAAAATCCGGAATAAAACAAGATTCAAGATACTTTTTTTTTTTTTTTTTTTTTTCCAGATGCTTCTAGTGCACAATCTGGGGCACAAAAAAAACGAGGGCACCCAGCCGGCTCCCAGTGAGGCTGCTGGGCAGGAGCGGTTCGGCAGGTGGATGGTTTTTGGCGAGGGTAGTGGCGCCTGTTCTCCGTGCCACGGGGCAGCATTTTGGCTTCCGCGTGGGCTTTTAAAAAATAACCGGCTCCACCGAGGCATTCGCTCGTGGGAGTGCGCGCCAGGCCGCAGCTGGACCTCACCCTCACGCGAAAACTTCCAAGGGTGGGGATGGAAAACGGGGCCCACGGGTGGACGCCCGCGCGGCGCCTCCTCCCTGAGGGAAAAGCCCCGCGTAGGCAGGCGGCGGCACCCGGCGCTGTGGGGCCGGTGCGGGGCGGCGGCACCCGGCGCTGTGGGGCCGGTGCGGGGCGGCGGCACCCGGCGCTGTGGGGCCGGTGCGGGGCGGCGGCACCCGACGCTGTGGGGCCGGTGCGGGGCGGCGGCACCCGGCGCTGTGGGGCCGTTGGCGCCAGGACCGGCCGGATCCGGCCGGCGCTCACCTGCCCCCCGCGCTCCCCTTCCAGTTCGCCTCCCGCTCGGAGTGGCGCGTGTAAATTACTACTTTTAAAACACATAAACGCTTCGCCCCGAGGACGGGGACGGCCTTCTTTTTTTCTTCTTTTTTTTTTTTTTTTTTTTTAACCCTCGAGATCGCCCCTCCGCTCCTTCCCCCCGCCTCCCAGCCACCTCCCCTGAGGGGAGGCGGGCGGCCGCCGTACCTGGCGGCCTCCGCTCGGGGAGGAGCGCGCCTCGCCGCCCCGGCCCCAGCGGCACCGACACCGGCAGCGGCCGCCGAGCAGGTGGGCGCGGAGGGGGCGCGGCGCGGCGGCCGCTGGGGTTGGGGTTGGGGTTGGGGGGGCCCGGGGCCTCCGACCCGCCTCCCCACGCCGCGGGGGCCGGGGGCCGCGGGGGGCCAGGCGACCCGAAGGGCCGGAGCTCCCCCCCCTCCCCGTTCCCCGGGCCGCGGGGGGGCTGAGGCCACTCGGCGGACAAACTCGTTACCGGCCCCGCCGCGCCCCGGCCCCGCTCCCCCCTCGGCCCCTGGGCAGGGCGGCGGGGGGGGGGCACGGGGGGTCCGGGGCACCCGAGCCTTCAGGAGGGGGTGGCTCACAGCGGTGGAGGTTTTGCGTAGTTCTGTTTTTTTTTTTTTGTTTTTTTTTTTTTTCCAAGTAAAGGCAAACGGGCTGTTTTCAGGCGGCAGTAGATAGGAAGAACTTTTTTTTTTTTTCCTAGTTTTTGCCCTTGAAATAGATGTGCTGGAATAGGTCTGCTGGGAAAAGCGGGGGGGGGGGGGGGGGGGGGAGTAACAGTCAAAGCTACGGTGTGTGAAATGCTTATGCACCTACTGCGGGGGGGAATGCTGGAGCAGCGTTGGAAAGAAGCGCTTAAAAGTTTAATAATAATTAGCACCGGTAAAAATGTGACTAAAATCTTGTCACTTACGCAGCAGCCCGTTTGCGCTAATACAGAGCGGCAGGGAATGTGTTGGTAGAGGGTAGCAAGAGGGTTTTTTGTTATTAGGAGATGCTTGGAGTTTGCAAAGGCATAGCAGCAGCAGGTTCTGTCACAGCCCATGTTTCTGCCGGTGCGGGGAGGACTGGAGGAAGGGGGTGTTTGCGTGGTTCGAGAAGTTCAGGAGATCTAGGAATAGGAAGGACACATTAGGTCAGCGTGCCTTTTGTTTGTTTGTTTTTGACTGAAAGTGGAATATTGCTAAGGGCGATTGCTGAGAGGTGAGCAAAGTAAATCTGATTCAGGAGAGAAGACACTGAAGTACAAGATAAAGGTTGATGATTTCAGCACAGAGAGGTCTTGGGACAGTCTGGATTCATGGGCTAAAATTTGCAAGTGCTTCAGCACTTTCACAGAGAGTGAAACATTGCTGAAATTGCAATAACAGTGATACCTGTTATCATGCATGCTGAATGAATCGAGTTGTTGAACTGCTTCCTGATACAATCGGTATTTTCAGTTTCTCCACCGGTGTATGAAGCACAAACTCCCGTTTATTTAAGAACGTGTGTTTGTATCGTCATCATTAAAGACTTCAGTTCGCATCCTTTGTACTGAAAGAGAAGCTCCAAGGGAGACGAGCGGGGGAACGAATACAGCTTGACTCGGCGGTGGCAGTCCGAGCTGGGATGGGTGACAGGTATGTGCGTGTGAGGATGGTTCCCGTTCGCTGCGTGGACCTGTGACCCAAAACAGTGTCCCGGATGGAACGTGCGGGCGGTGCAGACGCTGCTGCCACCCACAGCTCCGCGGGGACATTGCCCAGCACGAGGGGGAAAGCCTGAGCCTGCTTTGCCGTCAGTTACCAGCTCCGCGTACAAGGTAGCGTACAAGAAGCTCAGTGTGGGACCCTTAAAGAAGGTTGTGTAAGTGTGCTTTGTTTCACTGGTGGAATGCTGGGGATGTTTTGCTGTAGGTGACGGTGACAAAATGTGGGTTAGACTCGTAACCAGACAGAAATTCTGTGGGAGTCAGTTCTTTTCCTGCAGAAGATCCTGGTCAAGGAATGGGGCTTGGCAACCAACATGCAACCCCTCTTGATATTACAATGACATTTATGTGTTAGCTACAACTTCTTACTAAGATTTGAGGCTCCAGTAGGCTAAGTGGTGTACAGAATTGCACAAAAGTGCAAGTTCCCGTTCCAGCTTGCAATAGAAGTATGAAATTTGATTTTTGTTTAAAAAAATCAAGGATATGTATTCTGTGAAGACGGGTGTATGAGTAGTTTGATCAGCTTTGCATACAGACTTCAGTTGCTTAGGGGCGAATGCAAAGCTCAATTCATTAGCTGCAGTGCTTAAGTCATTGCTGGTTTGGATCTCTTCCTGAAAATGATTGAGACGAACTTGAGATTCTGATTCTGTGATCGTACTGCACCGGAAAGAGCAATATATGACTGTATATATCAAATCATATAATACAAAGCAAGTCCCCAATTTTTTTCTCTCTCCCCATCAGCACCTCCAAAAGGAAATAGAATAAAGATTCTGTAACATCTCAATTTCTGTTACCTCAATACATCAGGAAGGTCTGTGCTAGGATTGTGTACATGACTACTAAATCTGAATTTGTAGAAAGTGTGTAAATAATTATTTTTTCAAAACAGTAAATCAAAACATAGCAGTGTCATATCTCAGTAATCACACCATAAAAGTCAGCAGTGTTTGTTGAATGTCTTAACAGAACATAGCATAGATCCTAATAGATGCTCTTTATACTTAAAAAGATTAATTTTGTTGGTTGATGAGGTCAGTATTTTGGGAAATTCATCGTCCTCTGAGAAGACCACCTTGAACTGAAAACAATATCTTAGTCATAACAGATAGAGAAATATTTGCACATTTTAAGAGATAGATGTTAAAAGTTTCAGAGTGGAATAACATGATTTACTACTTTCTATCTAAATATTAACTGATATTAAATATTGAATAGTTTAATATTAATATTTTAAAATATTCTAGCCCCAAAGAGAAGCAGAGCAGTGAAAGGATTGGCAACAAATTTATTTGTATGTTTGTTAGTCATAACTCACCTATAAGAATTACATGATTTTTCAGAAGCATCTGCTTCTGTGGGAGTTTTTTTCTCTCTGCTCAGTGACTGGAACAAGTTCTGTTCAATTATCAAAAGTAGATGGGACTGGACTAGATCAGTTCAGCTCTCTTACCCTTGATTTCCTTAAGTTACTGATCCTGGGGGTGTGTGAGCATCTGCTACATTATTATCTGGGTGTTTTATGCCGTTCATTTTAAGGTCTAATAAGATGAAAAGTTGAAGCAGATGATTGCTTTGGGAAAATGATACTAGGCTCTGTTTTACCAGAATAAAGATTCCTAGCTTCTTCAGAGTAGATGTAAAATTAATATCTAAATAAACACAATAATCAACTATAACATCCAGTAAATTCTTTTATTTGAAAGTCTTCGGTACTCACCTTACACTGAGTTACTAGTGTCTGCTGTGCAGTTTTGAGGTGTAGCTTTCTGGAATGCCTTTGCCACTATTCGTAGAGATCTTCCTCAGTTAGACTGTGCTCTTGCACAGAGTAGTTACTCTTTTTGAAAGGCTGAAGCTTTCTGAAAATTGGCTTACGGGAGAAAATCCTTAATGGGACTTCACAGTTGCTTTTTCATCTGTGGTCATTCTGCTTCAGGGTTATCCAGTGGCTTTGTAGCCAAGATGAACAGTGATATAAACAGTGCTATATTTGCAAACAGGGAAAAAAAAAAAAAAAAAAAAAAAAAAGTCCTTAGGGCTTCCAAATCAGAGAGAAAAGGAGTATTTTTAGACAAAATTGTATTCTTTTGAATATGCCCACCTTATTTGACTTCTGAGTATCGTCAAGTGGACTCATTCAATCTTAGATACATGACAGCTGTAAAGCTGCCTCTGGATTGCTTTGAAAGTGTGTGAAACAACTAAAGGGTTTTCATAAGGCGTGAAAAGTGTGGTTTTGTGCCTTGGCAATTCAAACAACAGCTGAAATGGATTTCCTTTAGACTACCAGAAATATCTCTCTCTCAAATAAGATCATGCGTGGGGAGCCTGATCCTTCTCTGCATTGACCCTGTGTCAACTTTCACCACCCTTACGAATAGATACATAACCCTCTGTGATGAGAATGAGATCATTTTGTAGCCAGCCCAGGCAGAGGAGAGCAATGTCACAGCTATACTGTATCTGCAGTATAAGTGGTAATACGAAGTGAAAAGCAGAGGAAGGCTGGACCAGAGGTCCCCACAAGATAAAGTCCATGAAACAGAAGAACAGAAAATTCAGCATGAAAGCACTTGCTCAGTCTTGACATGGCTCTTACAGATGTCTAAGACAACTACCTCCTGTGTCTGCTCTGCAGCTTCTGTGTAATAGATATGCTATGTCCTTCATTTACACTGTTGGCAACTGCAGTGTCTGCCTTGATAAATTAAAGTGTTGGCTACAAACTGCAGTGCTTCTGCTTGATTCATAGGATAGGGGTAAAATGTTTCCTTCTAGATGAACAAAGTGAATGAATAAGTTTAGAGATAGTAACCCCTTTGTGTTGGTCCCTTTCACAAGATCTACACAGGTCTGTAAATGACTGCTGTACCATTTAACTTTTTCTAGTTACTATATCATGTTTTACTCTCTTCATTATAAGTAACAAAAAAAGGAAAAAAGAGGAGAGCAGTATATGGTACTGGATCACGAGGGAGGTCTCGGGATCTTTTGTTTCGCCTTTGTATCCTCTTGTTTGAAAGGTATTATGTTATTGCTTTCCTAACTGGCATAGTTGTGTGCAGTGAAAAATGTACATGCACCAGTGCTAGTGACTGCATATAAAATAGTCCTGGCAGGGTTTGGGCTTTTGTCCAAGCCAGTTACACTTCTGTTGTATGCTAAAGAAGAAAAGAAATAACACTGTATCTGTACAAAATCTACAGATCTGCTGTGTTAGTTGAGTAGACAAATAAAGAAAATCATGAGGTACAGAAAAGGCAAGCCAGGCATCCTGATGAGGAAAACAGAGAGCTTTTATAGCAACTTATTTTCAAAGGGAATGTTTGCTCCTCTTGGGGATGCGTGAATCACTGCAAAAATATCTGTAAAATTCTGCCTAGGATTTGGACAGAAAGTTGCTTTAATTGATCAGTTGTGTGAGTGCAAACAGCTTAACACGTTAGTGATGTTACTCATGTCGCGGCAGCTTGTGTTTGCTTGTCTAGTTTCAGAAGTAAACCCTAACGAACTGACCTCACTTCTACTGAAAACAAAGGAAAATCTAGCGTAAAAAAATAGCAAGAGATGGATTAGTCTCTAAATTAGTAAATTGACAGAGGCTATCTATGTCTAGCGGAGACTATCTCTGTAGTTTACCATGTGAGTGACAGATGAGGGGACCAACGCGGCATGAAAGCCTTTTTTAGCCTTGAAATGACTAAGTAGCAAGGAAATTATGCAAAAGCGGATTGTACAAAATATTCTTGGATCAAGTGATCATGAGTTTACATTGACTTAACAGTAGGATAAATGATGCAGTGCCATGTGGAGATCCTTGAGCTTGCTCTGAACGAGCTGTACCAGGAGCTGCAAAGGCCAGTATAGCTGCAGATTGCATGTACTCTGGTTGCTTTGCTGCTTTCCTCTGCCCAGAATGTTTTACCTGGTTGTTTTTCTCCAAAATTTCAGTCTTGTATCCAGTCCCTCATGTGAAGCTTTGTGCATTGGCACTAATACTTACCAGCTCTAGTCAGGATGTATCTCCTGGTACCTCCTAGGATCACATTTCCTCTTTTTCAGAGCCGAATCAGCCTAGTTCTGCATTCCCTTTGGTTTTCTCAGTACTACCAACCTGTGATGAACCCCTAGTATCATCATGCAGGGCTGTTTAATTTTGCTCCGTGTGCAGTGCTTTTCTCCTTGGGGCAGACAACTCCACCTTCTAAATGAATGGTCTCCATTTGTCTTGCCTTGCGTTAGCAGCAGGAAACGGGTGAGATGAAGGGTGAAAAGAGCAAAGACAAAGAAGAAAGTGGAGAAGGGGAATGGAGAGACTGGTAAACCACTAGAAGAGGAGAGAAATTTTCACCGAGGGAAGTAAAGAGCGAGAAGGGCCAGATCCAGACTGCTAGAAGTGAAAGCTGGAGCCCAAAACCGTTATAAAACTTGACGCCAGAGTTAGTGGAAGCAAGCGAGTCCTCATCTTTCCCCTCCTTGGTCTAATGGTAGCAGATGATGGCTGTACTGGAGGTATTCTTGGGAGCTGATTCTGGCAGCTGATTCTGATCTACTTGTCTGAAGAGGGAAAATTGTAAAAAAACACTTTTTTCCTATGTGTCTACAATAGACACAACTTCAGAAAAATCTTCTTTTGCCAGTTAATCCCTAGGATTACTTTCCTTCTTCATCAGGTAGCAAAGTTAGTTGACTGTTTTTGGATTCCTAGTGTTCATTGCTTATTCTGTGTGTATGGGTAAGTATCAATCACATTGTCCTCTCTGAATATAGTGACTTTGACAAAGAATTGCAACTGAAGTCCTTTAATAAGTCAAAGGATTGAATCGTTGATTTAATAAAACTCATATTGTTTCTTCTGAGAACTTTGTTTTACTAGCAGTTCAGAACTAGGCCTACAAATCAAAACTACTTTTGTCAGGGATTTTTTTTGTTGCAGTTGCAAATTACTTTGTGATTTGTTCATTGTACAAAGTGAAATCATTGTCCCGAGTGAATGGATGTAAGTTTGGAGCTAAATATTTTGTCCATTGCCTTTAAAAACAGCTAACAATTTTCTGTATATTTTTATGCACGTAGGAATTTTTGTAAATATATCACCTATGACACTTAAGGGGCAATAAGAACACTTTGCATTTTATTTTTTCAGAGCAATTAATTAGTTAACATGATAAAAATGCAATATTATGGTAATAGAGTGAGGCTTCCTTAAAAACACAGGGTTTTATATACCTTTTACTTATAAGTATGGAAGCCTTACCCTGGTGTAAAGAACATCTAAGATGAAGTTACCAACTATGTAATTGAAACGGAGCGGCAGTTTCAACAGGACTGACAGATGAGAGCATGAAAGTAAGAATGGATAAGCATGTTCAGAAGTTGTAGTTTAATTTGTCAGGATGTTAGGGCTAGTATTTTTGCCACTGGAAATAGATTTTGAAGGGAAATTAAGTAATCACAACTTCACAGAAAACCAGGATCAAAGCTTCCCATTCTTTCTTTGAGGTGAGGATTTCCCTGGCAGCTCATTCCTGCAAGTGACCAGACCACAATTTTAAATCCCTCATGAAAGACAATTCTCCTTACAGCATCCAGTGACCACAACTTACGCTGGGGCAGGATACTGATACTGTATTGTAACGAGGAATGGCTTACGTCGATTTGCCAGATTTATGCCAGTATATACGGTGTTTCTTAAGCTGGTGGATATCAGCCTGACGTGGCACGCATACAGGTTTCAATACATTCATATTTTCAAGATGGAAAGCTCTGAAAATAAGATCTCTGATGAAACATCATGTGGTTGAAAGTTTTAGAATTGAGACACGGATTTTGAAAGTCTTCTGATACCCACGTGTGCAAATTCTTTTCTCTTGACTGGCATTTGAAAACAGACATTTGTTAAGCTGTGTATAGTAAATACAAGAAAGCAAGGTGCTGAATACTGCCTTGTTTGGGTTGTCTATTTTGATGCTAGCTACTTAATTGGAAAGCAAAACTTTTTTCTGTTAGGGGAATTGATTAAAGTTTAGTAGTTTCTTTGGTGGAAACCATTCTATGTACAGGTATACTTCTTAATCTCTATGTATTATGTGAATGATAGTAAATAATATATTAATAACTATAAAGAAATACATTATTGATAATTATGTGAAAACATACAGTTTACTTCTCAGCAGAGACTGCAAAACTTGCAGGTGTTAACTTGAAACATCAGGTCGCCTTTACTAAGAGAGCTCAAGTGCTGTTCACACTGAAACTCTTGAGGAGTATAAAAGTAAACAGTCATCTTCAGAATGTGGCAGTGACCTTGAACTTCCACTGAGCTGCACTTTCTTTATTTAGCTTAGGCCAATGATTAACTTTGCTAATGACTGCATATCGAATTTACCATTGTTTATGTATCTGGCAGTGAAATAGGCCATGTCTGTCTTTGTGTGGATGATACAGTATATTTCAAGGAAACTCTTTGTATAAATTGTTTCATTTGCAAAGTTACCTCTTTGTGCAAGCCCTAATTGCTTCCAATTTACCTCATTTGTCTTTGGATTCCTTAACTGCGGGTTAACACTGCAGTAGGCATAATGTATTTCTTATGTGTCGGTCTTTTCTCTCACTCCTTATTTAAAAGAGGATGACAAATTCTCTTATTCTGCTCCCTTACAGCACGTAGTCTTCTATGGCAGATCCCTGTGGAGCAGAGGAAGCTACGCCCTGAAGTAGTCGTGTGTAGGGACGTGAAGTCATCTGCGCAGCTTCGCCTCTGCAGGGAGGTTTGTCAAGACATAGCACTTTAATTTCTAGCCTCAACACCATAGGGAACCCAACAGACATCTGCCCACAGCACACACGGAAGCAAGGCAGCTTCAGATTCCTCTTATCTCTGCTAGGTCAGCCCTGGCCAGTTTGTTACAGCGTTATCAGAATAATGGTCATGCTGTTTTTTCAGGCAGAGAGGGGAGGCAGCCCTTAGCTGGATCAAGCCTGGTGGAAATAGTCCAAGCTGAGGAGAACTTGGCTTAAATGCAGGATACTGTTACGTGCTGTGAGACAATCCCACAGACCCCGTGTAGACAAATGCTGCTTAAAAGTGCTTCATCGGATGTTAAATGGAGAAGGAGTCCTCGAGGTTTGTACGTTTCAGTGGAATTGCAAAAGCCAGATTCTGCCTTCAGTTGCAGTGATTTAAATGGTGACCGAGAGCAGAAACTTCTCTCTTAAGTTGTATACGGTCCTGGTACTGTCTGTGGAAATGATGAAAGGCTGTAGTTTTCTTAGTCGGCTGTAGGAATATACCTGTGAGTATTTTAAAATATATGTGGTAGGGTGTGTTTGTCTTTCTTCTTTAAAAGAAGGTTGTAACAGTTTGACACTTCTGCACTGCTCTTAAATCTCTCAAATACAGCAGAGACTATCAAGTTTTTTGAGGATGGGGTTATTTTTGCAAAGGAGAAAGAGACTAAGCATATTCAGAGGCTCGACCGTGATTCTGCCTTGTTCTGGTCTCTAAACGCAAGAAATCATTCACACTGAAAATGGTAGAAAGAACTGTAGCATCTGATGCTTAAAAATGACATAGTTTGAGTCTGTTATAATTAAAATCTAAACTGGTTCATTCCAAGCAGAAGCTTTTTCCATGTCGTTTCCAGTTGTGTGACAGTGACAGAAGAAAAACTGATCTGTGTAACACACATCTACTCCTCTCTGTTTTTATTCTTTTCTGCCTCTACATGTGTTGTACTGTCTTTAAAAGATCTGCGGTGTGTTTGTACCAGTGATTTCAGCTGTTCTTCAGTGATGTTTGACAGAAGCAAGTGGGGCACAATTAGGCTCATTGTCTACTTTTCAGATCATGAAAGTTGAGCAGAGGCTTACTGATGCTGTTTTTCCTGTGTAATTTTGAAATTCTTTTCGTTTTCTGTTAAAATATAAGGACTTAAAAGCTGTAAGTCAGAACAGTGTAGTTAATGGGAAAATCATATTTGATTATATAAAAGCTGATTAAAAGTTAAAACCAGAGCTTGTGGTCTATGTTTTTTCTTCAGTTTTTAATCAAGAAAATAAGACCAGTATTTTAGATGAGATTTCCTGCATACCTTTGAAATATCTACCCCAGCCTTTACTTTGAAGCAAAAAAATCTGTAAATTTCCCCAAACCTGAATTACCTACCTCAGAGCACGCAGTTGCAGTGATTGCAAATCCAGTAGTAACGAATCAGTTATTTTGCAGTCCTTTCTCCAGATTGATTAAAAGGGTTGCATTTTCGATTCCAACCATGTTGTTTCTTATTAATGACTATACCGCTTAAAGACCTAAGGACTACAGCCTTTTTTTTTTTTTTTTTTTTTTCAGGAAAAGGCTACTAGTTAAGAAATATTTTTTTATGTATAAATGCACATTCTGTGCTTTTAATTAATTGTGACTTTTTCCTCTGTCTTTTCCCCTTCTAGACGTTGTTCTAAATTGAAGGTACAGCTGTTGCACGCCTTCCCTTTCCATGATGGGTGAAGGTATTTTAGCATAGTCTTCACAGACAGACCTGTGATGGTCTGCTGAGTGTCAGTGTGGCAGGAGACGTGTCAGCTGCTGTCCAGAAGCCACACTGCTTCTTAGTGTGGCTCTGTGCTCCCGACAGGACTTTGTCTCAGTGTGATCCCAGCGCTGTGGCAGTGACACTTTAGAAGGAGACCTTAGGGAAGCACTCGGATCAGAGCTTGTGTACATCTGTTAGCTGGGCTAGGTGAGACCAAATCTACATAAAAGCTTAGGCAGAGGTATTGAGTTTCCACAGGTGAACTCGGCAGAGGACTGAGAGAGCAGGCCATGAAGAAGAAAGATCTGCACCTACTCTGTCTTGTCTGACGCTTCAAAATGGAGGTCTGGGTGAAGACTTTATTCAGAAATTTGGAGCTTGAATTCTACATTGAGGACTGCACTGTGGTTCTTAAACCCAGCTACTATTCAAGCAAGCACTGTGAGAAGAAGTAAGGAACAATCTGTGACACCTGAAATTACCAGTTTTAGATTTACCCTTACCCAGAGAACAAAAAAAGACCCAACTGTTCAGAGCTCAGAGAATAGTAATAATGTTCACTGACTGATGGGATGACTTGAGAGAAGTGAAACAGCTCAGAAAGTATAACTAGCACTTGTAAATGCACTTCTGAATTATAATCCTTATATTTGACAAAGCTGATGCTGGGGGGTAGGAGAAACTACTTTGCTGGGTACAAGGTAGAGTCATCTGCAGTGGAGTGCAAATGGGATCAAACTAAGAAAAGGAGAAATTAGGCTGAGTGTCAGGCAGTCTGAACTACAAGAGTTATTTGACAGTGAAAGAGCTTCCCAAGGGAAATAATACAAGCCACATTATTTGGGACACCTAAAATTAGACTTCAGAAAGCCCTAAAAAAAAGTACAACCTTGCTTTGGTAGGGAGGTGGACTAGAAAAGTCACGGTTTGGGATTTTCCTTTTTTTGCAATAAATTCTGCAGTTGTTGGGCCTGATTCTGTTCTGTGATGTGGAAGTCAAGGGAAGATTTATATTACTTTTTGCCTGAGAAATCCGAGGCTAAGCACAAAGGCTTCTCCCCTCCACCTCTTGCCAACTTTTTAAACTGGAACTTTTTATTTCTGTCCACTGGGGGTAGTTTAGACCCCTCTCTTCCAATTATAAATATGTATATTTAGAGAAAAGGAGAAAGGACACGTGTGCCTTAAGGACCCTTTGTGGCATTTCTCTCACGTCTGGCTCTTAACGGGCACTAGAACTGATCAATGTGGTACTAATTTTGGGGGTTTAATTCAGAATTTATTTAGCTTTTAATGTGCAAATGCATAATCCCGGCATGTTCTGCAGCTATTGTCTGAACTAGGCAACCACAGTTTAACTAGCGACTTAATGGGAGCAGGGGGAAGAGGCAAGTGAAATACAGCCTTTAACCAAGGAAGAGAGGCCTCCAAATGTGTGTCGATACACTGAAAGTGTTGCAGTCTTCTCCGTAATTTTCTTTAAATACAAACCACGTAAGTGAGCTAGCTGTGGTAAGACAAAAGGTTCTCACAGCCGGTTCTGCATATTAAAACGTGTATATTGTGCAGTTATGGTTAAATTTTAAGAGCCAATTTTTTTTATTGTAAGTTTAAACGTGCCCTACCTTTACCTACCTACAGTCCTTTGATATCAGTGTCTGCTTGTGTGAATGACAGCACTCCTTGCAAAGCCTGCTTGAACAAATAGAATCCTTACGTGGCAAATGGTTCTTCATTGCGTAGGTATTAGATGTGATCACCTTCACACTGTAATAGTACTGGTATAAAAAACATAAGAATTCGTGTGCACAAAAGCACACCAAGGTCAGGACACTGAGCCTCTGAATTTGTGATAAGAGACAAATGAAGGCACATATGTAGAATTTTAGGAAAGATAGTTCATTTGTAGGGGATTTGGAACAGCATTAGGGCACCTCCAGTATTTCATTCAAGGGTTGTGGGCTATAACCCAGCAAAATGCATTCTTCTCGGTCACTGGGCAAGAGGATGCAGCATAGGGGAGTGGGATGCATGGTGAAGTGAACACTTCCTCTGCACTAAATTTTGGGTTGCAGATGGCCACACGGTTTCTGGTCCTGGAACTTAGGCTGCATCACTTGGAGGAATGGGTGCCAGGGCAGGGACTGGTGAGAGGGGCAGCTCGAAAAGTCCTCAGATTGCATCTCAGATTGTGACTTCTAAATATCAAGAGCCAGTTCCCATTTCCTTTCTCCCACTGCTGCTCGCCTCCAGTGTGCTTTACCTCCTGCTGCCATGCACATGGTCTGCCACAGAAGCGTGGGTTGTATTTTTTTTTCTAATTTGACTAAGAGCATATTTCCCAATCTAAATCCTTAATGAAGACAAAAGGCCTCTATTGCAGGGTAGGAAGATACTAACCCGAAACATATTATTAGCAGGGAAGACTCATTCTCCTTATGTCCGTGTTTTTGAATGACTTAATTGAGGAAAAGAGATATCTTTTGAAAATAGCTTTTTGCATAGGGCAACAGCGAGGCTGGGATGGTGGAGATGCTGTGATGCCGGCTTGCTTGGAAAGCTTCGTTAAGCCGTTATTAAAGCGATTGTAACCAATTCTGTTAGAGATCCAGGGTGCTTTGATATGCTAGTCCTTTGCATAGCAATCTCGCAAGGGAGAAAAGCAGATGTTCCAGGGGCTCTGCATGTTTAATTTTTGATCGATCTCCCATCAGGTATTTTACAAGATATGACAGAAGAAAAATACTCAGATATTATCTGGATATTGGTCATGTACACTAGGTAGGAAGTGGAGAAGGCTGCATCTACGTTTTAACTTCACTGCCTCTTCTCATCTATCCCTCTGACAAAACAGCCAAGTATTCCCCTAAAGATTGCAACCTGCCTCATTTCTGTCTTGTCTTCTCTCCTGAAGTTCTCCAGATTTAACTGTCTCATACCTCCTGTTTACGTAGGTGGTTCTTCAATTACTTGAACAAAAGGTTTCAGACAGCTGGAAAAGTATGGATTGCCTGCTTTTAAAAAAGAAGGGAGGGGTGAGGGGAATAGGGCCTTGGAATTCTGGTCCTTTCAACTTAACATCAGTTTCTAGGAAAACAGCAAAATGAGTAAAACGTTTCTAAATGCTTGGAGCAGACAGGAAAACAAATTATCATCTACAGAGATGTATGAAGAGCAAATGTGTCAAATCAATGTAATTTCCTGATGAGATAAAGCCTTACAGAAAGGAAAGAAATAGCAGATGTCATATTTTGCGTTATTGTAGGCCTGCTGATGCTGTTTCACATGACATCGGGAAGAGTCTCAGAAGACAGCCATGACACAATGGACATAAAACTAGATGTAAATCCATGTTTGGAGCATTTATCTGAGAGTCACTACCAAAATAAAAGAAGTTATGAAGTATGGCTTGCAGAGGGCTCTTTTCGGCACTGCTTAGTACTTTCATTTGTACTTTTACTGATGAAATACATGGGTTGCTTGTTAGCTTTACAGATGACTTCAGACTGAGAGGGGATGCAGTCATGCTGGAGGCTGGGTTAAAGATTAAAATCAGTGAGTGATGTCCTGTCATTCTGTAGGAGAATTAAAAACAAAACAAAAAAAAAAGCATGTAGCTTTTGTTGGAAGGTATGTGTCTTTTTCATCAGGGTGTTACTAAAGAATGGTGAGAAGTTAACATTTTAAAATGGCGGGAAAAATCTATGTGACTAATACTTGACATGTCTGGTCCTTATATGCCGTCATTTGGTAATAGAAGCTTTAATTTGTAGAATTATTTCTTCATTTATTACTCAATCATGTATTGTTTTTTGATTTTTTCTTTCTTTTTAATAGTGGAGCAAGTCTGGTGAACCTTAGGAAGTTCCTTACTCTGTCCTTAGAGTAGCACACCTGTGGCCTGAAGATAATGGAGTTTTTGTCCCAGCAGGAATGTCTACATGTGGTTGACTGACTTTTTTCTTTGCAGAATTGCATTTTAGGGCTATGGGCTAGATTAAGGCAAGAAATAATAGTTAAAGCTGGACAGGCTGGCATCTATGCATTTGGTATTCATGGCACTTGTCCAGATCTGTGAGCTTGCTCTTTAGATGAATGTTGTCATCAGATAACTGTAATGAGGCAGTTTGTACTGTAGTTTTGGAAGCAGTGCAGTATAAAAGTCTTCAGTCTGCTCAGAGCTAGAAATTTGGCTGATCTTCAGCTTACACTGTATAAACACGTTCCTTTTTTTTTTTTTTTTTTTTATTTTTTCCCACTTTTCTCTCTCCTCCCTTCCTTCCCTTCAAGGACATAGACTTTGGCTATATTTTTCATAACTGTGTGAAGCTAGAAATCTTAACGGATGCCTGTGCCACCGCCACCACCACCACCTCCTCCTCCACCGCCTCCACCACCTTCTGGAGGGCCCCCTCCACCACCACCTCTGGTAAGATTGACTTTTCATCTCCATTCGCAAAAGCTGGCTATAATAGCCAGCTCAGAGCTCCCAGAGTTTTGGTATGGATATTCGTAGCAAATATCTGAGGCAGATGTTTGTTTTGCTGGCTTTTATTTTTCTGTTTATTGGTGCAGTGGTCTCCAAAGTGGGGTGTGTTGAGACGATCCATAGGGGTGTCAGAAGCACAAGTTAGAACTTCAGTCATACATGCCTATAATTTAGAAATAAATATATATACGTATATTGGGGTGCATGCCCCAAAATTTTTTTACTGCTAGGGGTGCAGGATCACAAAATTTAGGGACGATTTCATTAGAGCTCCTATGGTGAGAATTTAGCATTTGTGAATACTTCTTCAGTCACAGGGAACTCATTTTTGTGTTGGTAATATGCAGGTGGTAAGTGTTAATTTCTTCATCCTCTTTCTTACAGCTTTTATTAAGACTCACAGTGTTCCACTGTAGGTGTTGCCCTTTCTAGTACATGCCGTCTTCCTGGGGATACAGCACAATATGCTTTTATGTATGTGCAGGAACAATTACCGCTTGTAACAGATCATTACCGTGTGTGTCATGAAGTAGAACATGTGCCCTGCTGGCATTTTTGCAATAAGAGGGGGATGCTCTGAGTGGAGTTTCAGGGTAGTACATTTTTATACCTTCACAATCAATTATTGTACCTATGGTAAAACATGTTTAAGTAATTCCTTGTATTCTGCAATGATTTATTCGTAGCCTGTTTCTGCACTGAAATTCTTAGACCGTTTTTGAAACAGTGAAAGCTGGCATGGTTGTGTTCAAGACATAAAATCTCTCCTGACTTTTTTTTGTATATTTTTTCTGTCCCTGCTGTACTTATTTGCAGTGTATGTTAGTCCCTGTAGCAAAACAGTATGTGGTACTTCAAATGTACTTCAATTTTTTTATTTATTTTTTTCAGAACTTTATTTCTCCCTTGCATTCTCTGGCATCTCTGCCTGTTTGGTTCCCATAAAGGTCTGTTGATTTTGTTTGATAACATTCTTACATTATCTTCTTCCAGAAAGAGTTTTCCTTGCATGTTTCTCTCTGCTGTTCTGCAGGCTGAACCATTTTGTAACTCTCCATGAATTGTGGAGATGAAGAGGAGGAAGATAAAGACTGCACATGAAATAAGCAGTGCTTGATTCCTTTTATCATTCTGTTTTAACTTTGGGCACTATGAGCAGTGTTTTCAATTAGCTGCTCTTCTGGGTTGGTACACAACCTATAGTTAGACACTGAAATAAGTGGGCTGAATCTTGTGAGCAACTTAATGCTCACAACTGCAATTACAGTCAACAGATTCTGCCAGTGTTCTTATTCTAATAAATTTAGTTCAGTAAAGTCTCTAGAGACATTTTTAGTCTCCTCTAACATATGCCAATTGGAAATGACTTGAGAAAGCCAAGAGGACCCCTCAGGACCAGTATGAACAAGTTTGGGGTTTCTTGTTTGCCCTCCTTTTCTGATGACTAAAACCACTACCGTGATAGGGGTTGGATACAGGAAGCTTTATACTGTATTTCCATATTTTAGTTACTTCATTCTATTTCAAATGTGATCTTCTGTGCGGAAGACACATAGAACTCAGGGTCAGTTTTATCTTGGTGATATGGTATAAACAAAACGTATTTCTAATTAATGTCTGATATTAAAGCCTTCCGTTTAATACATGTTGATGCTAAAAAGAGCACATGAACCAACATAAAAAATAAGTAAAATAATGTGACAGAATGTTGTTTTTTCTGTAACAGCAAAAGGATTTTTTCCTGTCAAAACTGAATGAGAGAGGGCTAGCTGAGAGCATCTGCAGGCTGCCTGGTGAGTTCAGCAGAAGCACAGTGTAAGAGTCAGCTCTCCAGTTGGTGCCAAGTTGCAGAGTAAAATCTTATAATTGGGGAATCCATGAAAATCTATTTTCTTTTACTAGGAATCTATTTTCTAGAAATTGGCATCTGTCTTTTACAGCTGCTAAACTGCCCAACTGTTGTTACAGCTGCTAAATCTACAGTTGGAGGATGGAAGAAGAAAAAATTCTAACAGGCACGTAGCTTTAAGGAAAACCTTCAAAACAAGTAAGCTTTATTTGGCCAACACCTGGAAACATTCCAAAGTAAACTGCACTGTGATTTTTATTACACGGATATAATTAAACCATTTACATGTTAGCAATTAAAAGTAAGGTTTTAATTTTGCTATTGATAGGCAGGCAAGCCACTAGCTTAACCTGCTCGATTTACATTAAGAGGAACATCTGTGTGTAGGTTGAGGGTTTAGAATCCTGACATTTTGCATGATGCCATTGCATGGGTGCCATAGACTTGTCTTGCTTTTCTAATTATATGGATAATAGCCATACTTTCATCTTGGATTCCTCATTAAGAGATTTTTAGCAAAAGTAGTTGCCACACTACCTTCTTTTCTCAACATTTTCTTAGTGAATATTATGAGCCACAGTCCCAAATGATTTTGCAGTACTTACTTCATCGAAATCCTAAGCACTGTTGGCACTTGACTTTTTTTGTACTGTTAACTCCCTCTTAAGGCAGAAGAAGGTTAGGTTCTTTCTTACTGTTTGCAGAGGTTTTGGACTTGCAGATATTCTGTAAGTACTCATACTGAATTCTGCTCACAAAAGGTGTTGCAAGGCAATACTAAAGTGATTTGGTGATGGTATTTAAGACATGGTAGGAGCCACCTGTGCTCAACAGCTGAAAAGCTACTGGCTGTTAGAACACACTTAAAAGGAAACCAAGTGGCTTTTTCAGGAGGGGATGGTGGGGTATCTGCAGTAACAGATGTAGGTGGCTGAGTCAAAATGTAAATATAGCTAATTGGATTAATTGAGCATGTCTTCAAGCGCCTGCCTTCTGGAGGTCACAGATAAAGGTGAGAGGGAGGAGTTGGCAGAATAAAACTGTGCCCCAATATTTTTTCTGGCACTGGCTTACAGAATTCAGATTTTTTTTTTCTCTTTCTATTTTCCTCTCCACCCTAATAAAGGAAACTTAGAAAGGAGGCATTAGGATCTTTGTTCTGTAGCTCTTTCAGTGTTATAGCTGTAGGTGCATCATGGAAGGTGTTTGTTTTTAGTCCATAGGTTTTTGTTGTTTTTTAGGGGGAAGGTGTTGTGTTGTGTTTGTTGTTTCTTGGTTTTGTTTTGGTTGGTTTTTTGTTTTTGTTTTTTTTTTTAAAAAAAAGTTTTCTGATCCTGAAAAACTTCTTTATATTCCCCATCTATTTCTCTTACCGCTTTTGCCTTTTAGTTTGGCATATGAGGCATTCTGGTTAGTTTTGGTTTGTCGTATTTCCTGGAGTAGATACCAGCACTGAGACTGATTAAAAATTTTCTCTGCTTCATCTCCCAAGAGAGCATCAAGAGAGGATTTTGCTCACTGCTGTGCAGTGTTTGTCTGTACATTTGAATTCCTAATGTTATGATCAGTCATCACCTATGAATATTGAAGGAAGTGTGGATGTGTAGCAGCCCTGCTGGGTTGTGCCTTATTCAGAGATGTTTGTTTAATGATTCATATGTTTGTGGAGTTCAAGAAAATGCTTCTATTCTCTTTAGAATTGTTACAGCTAAACTCTTAGCATAGAAATTAACGCCCCACATCACAGTGGATCAGATGATTAAAGTCAGTAAAGTAGTACCAGAGGTTTATTTGCCATATTGGCATACTGAAAACTAGGAGAGCAGGAGAAGAAAGGAATATGCTTGTTTTGGTGAGAGAAATGTGAAACTTGAAATAATGCTGAATGCTGGAGTGGCATGTAGATTAGTCTTAATGATTACCTCACTCTTATTTAGTTAAAAAAAAAAAAAAAAAAGGAATAGAATTTCTGTTGTAGATAAACATATGTCAGTGTTTACCAAGTTTGTTATTCTGACTTTATTTTCTAGTCTTGTAATAAAAAACTCAGAAAAGCAATTCCTCGTGATGTAACACTGTGATAAATGCATAATTTACACAGAGGTAGGATTTGTAAGGTTAAGAAAAACATCAGCTGACGGTTTTCCTTGGGGGGCTGGTTTTTTTTCCCTCCTTCATGCAGTTGTCAGAGCGCAAACCTTGTCAAGCTGTTTCCTTCAACCTTCCCAAGAAATTCAGAGTGCTACATTGCTTTTCTGAAGTTGTGTGGGAGTTGGTTTTGCTCCTATGACATTTAGCACTACTCTTCTTTGGAAAGAGGAAAACAACGTACGTAAAACAGCTCGGCTGACGATAATGATGATTTATGGTGTTTTGATTTGGTCTTACCAAATATAATACGAGAGAATGTGCACCTATAACTGTCTATATGCATAAATGTGTGTGCATGCTTGCTAATTATTTATTGTAAAAATTAAGGTAATTTAGGTAATTTCTCAAGTTTTCATTCAGACCCCTAGACGTGCAAGCGTAACGCTGAAAGAATAGAATCATGCATAGTGCCAATTACAAAATACGTAGGAATGTGTTTATTAAAATTTTATGCAAGCTGTGGGTAAGATGATAGCACTTTGTCATGAAGTCCCTAGGCCAGGAGATGCTAAATCATAACGTTTATTGCTGATAGGTAAAACAAACTGAAGTGAGAGTGCGGGCTTGGTAATCTTGTTGATGACTGGTCATCATACAGACTGTTCTAAGGGCTGGGCAAAGAGTAGCTGAAATTTTTGGGAATGCTTTGTTTCAGCCAAAAGAAAGGAAACTGATTTATAGTGTTTTAATATGCATCACATCTCACACCAGTCTGCTTTCATAAAGAAGTGAGAGGCAATTATGTAGAAAAAAATGCTGTGTCTTTGTGTGGTTTATTTGACTTAATTTTCAGATAGTGGAAGATGTGGGATTGCCTAGCTGTGGCATCTCAAAGTGGTGCTGCTGTGGCCTTCTACTCTTGTAATCAACAGATACAGAAAGGGTAAGTGGGAGCTATGAAAGGTGGGGAAGACGTAAAGAAAACATAAATACTGAGTTG